CTTGGCCTTGGCTGTGTGCACCCCAGGAAGTCTCAGGAGGCCAGGGACCTGGGGCCCCATGGGTCAAGACTGTCCAAGCATGGGCGTGAAGCGGAACTAGCCCCTGGGTGCTGAGTCTTCTCTACTCCGGGTCTGTCAGCTGTGGTGTGAGGTGGGGGCGGGAGGACTTGGAGGGTGTTAGGAGATGGGCTCTGGGGATGGTGAAGAGGCCGGGGGGTGCTGTCACATGCACCCACACCCCTGGCCCTGGCCCTCAGGTATATACCGTGGAGCTGCACATTGGGAAGGTGGTACTGGGGGACCGTGGGGATTACCGACTCGAGGTCAAAACCAAGAACGCCTGCGACAGCTGTGGCTTCAACATCGACGTGGAGGGTGCGCTGGCGGGGGTGGGCCAAAGGGCTATGGGTGCAGGGTGGGGGGATGGATGTTGTAGCCAGGTACGTAGGAGTGGGGTGACAGGTACAGACTTTGGGTGGAGGTGGGGATAGGTGGACCTTTATCAGGGGATTCCAAATTGGGAGAGGCAGCCTATAGGCTTAGACTGCAAGGAGGTGTAGATTTGGGGGTCAAAGTGTTCAGGGTTTCGGGGTGCGCATGCGAAGACTTAGGAGACAAGTTATGTGGATTCCAGGGTCATGGTATACAGGCTCGAAATGTGTCAAGAAGGGCTTGGGGAGTGAAGGTGTCCATCTTTAGATGGTGAGTGGGTTCCTGGCAAGGTTGTAGAGCCTTGAAGGGTCACGTCTTGGAGGAGACTCTTCCTCCAGCTCACCTTCCTTCCTCCTTCCCCCCATCGCCTCCTCCCAGCGCCTCGTCAAGATGCTTCAGGACAGAGTCTAGAAACCTTCAAGCGTTCGTAAGTAACCCTGGATGCTGGGGAGAGGGGCCCCATCTCTTGGTGCCGAGGACCAAAGGAGGATCTCCCTTGGGAGGGGGAGGTGTGGGAGAAGAGAGGGTTGAGGGCGGCCAGGACTGAGGACCCTGGGGTGGGTGGGGGAGGGGGACAGGACTTCAGTAGGGTTCACACTCATCTCAATGACCACAGGGGTGAAGGGAAGTCGGACAATGCAGGCGAGCTGGATTTCAGCGGCCTGTTGAAGAAGAGGTGAGCCTGGCCTACGGCGGAGAAATGGGGGCTCAAGGAGGAGGATGGTGGGTAAGATTGAGGGAGGGCCTCTACTGCTTCCTGTCTGCCATCCCTAGACTCATTGTCCACCACTCAACCTCTCCTGCAGCCATCCACCCCCTGACCCACCCAATAGTCAACCCATCAACCCATCCATCCCCCCGTCTATTACTGTCTACCCACTCACCCACACCCTTATCCTGTCAACCAACTGCCCACCAATTCACTTACTTACCTACCCTTTAACCCATTCTCCTCACATTCATTCACTCTTCTTTGAACCCATCTTTTCAACCACCTAGCCGTCTGTCCATCCATTTGTCCATCCACACACCCACTAATCCATCCCCATACCAAATCATCCATCCATCCATTTAACCAGCTGTCCATTTATCTGTCTACCCACATATCCATTCATCTACCCACCATCTTCCCACCTATCCATCCACCCATTTACCTATGGGTAAATATCACCCTCCCATTCATTCATTCACCCATTCATTTGCCCACCCACTTTCCCACCTATCTAGTCATCCATCTATCCACCATACATCCATCTGTCTACCATACATCCACCTTCCCATCTGTCTCTCCATCTGCTCCCAACCGAACCCAACATCCCATGCACCCATCTAGCCACACATTTCTCTATCACCTCTTTATCTCTCTATTGACACAGGCATCCCCCTAGACAGCTCTCTGTTAGATTGAGCTATATGAGATTGCAGTTCTATAAATCAAAAATGGTTGACTGCTGGCAATTTCATAAGGTTCAATGTAGCAATTGTCCACTCACTCATATATTCATTATCTACTGGTCCACTTACCCATTCTTCTACTCACCTATTGCCCCCCAACCAAATCCCTGACACCTCACTTACTGTAGATTCATCTGTTGGTCTCCACCCAGGCAACCATTTTTCATCAACATACCCATCCAGCAGCCCACCTAACCATTTCCTAACCCATCAGT